CATGGTGTCCCTTCCATGGGACTGTGTGCCCTCATGATCACGGGGCTGTGTCCCCTCAGGAGGGAGAGGACCATGGTGTCCCTTCCACAGAACTGTGTGCCCTGATGATGGATGTCACGACCATGGGGCTGTGTTCCCCGAGAAGGGAGAGAACCATGGTGTCCCTTCCATAGAACTGTGCGCCCTGAAGATGGCTGTCACCACGGTGGGGCTGTGACCCCTAATGGGGCGTTCGGGCACTGCCATGGCTGTGCCCCGACAGCGATACCCTCTCAGCGGTACCACCGCCGCCTTCCCCCTCCTCCGGATCCTCCCGCCCTCCCTTCCTCCTCCTCCTCCTCCTCCTCCTCCTCCTCGGCGGGTGCCCCGGCAGCGCCGGCGCGGCCCGGCCCCGCTGCCCCGCACTACATTTCCCGTCGTGCCGGGCGCGGCGGGGCCGGAGCGGGGGCTGGAGCGGCCCCGGCGCTGCCGCCGCCCGGAGCGGGGAGTGCCGGGCAGGGCCGGGCAGGTGGAGCGGCCCCCATGGAGCGGGGGAAGATGGCGGAGCTGGAGAGCCTGGAGACGGCGGCGGAGCACGAGCGGATCCTGCGGGAGATCGAGAGCACGGACACGGCCTGCATCGGCCCCACGCTCAGGTGCGCGACCCTGCCCGGGCGCCGCGGGGGCACCGCGGCCGCGGTGGTGGCGGGGAGGGTGCCGGCGGTTCCCGGCGGTTCCCTGCGGTCCCCTCGAGCCCCGTCCCCTCCCCTGCCTCCCCCTCGGGCTTCCCGCGGGCATCTGTCAGAGTTCTCCCGGCGGGATTTATCCCTGGAAACCCCCTTGCTCGGTTTCCTTGTCGGGGCTGACGGTGACGCGGCGGGGACGGGGCGCGATCGCCGTCCCGACCGAGAGACGAGTTAATGCCTCTTGTTTGCTTAATGGATCCTTTGTTCTCCCGTTAAGCATCTTTTCCCCCCCGCGGTTCTTGCGGAATCCTCGGGCTGGGAGAGCCCGTGGCTTCGTCTGCGGGAGATGCGGAGCTCTCCCGGTCCCCGAGGAGCGCAGATGGATGTGGCTCCTTCCCATTCCCTTTGCCAGCAGCTCCTTCCCATCGCTCCGGCTCTGGCGTTTCACCCCTTTAGGTGTTTGTTTTGCCCCAGTGGCTGCTGTGTTGTTCGTATAAAAGATGTGGTAGCTGGCTGTGTAACTCATCACTCGATTTCTTTAAAAAGATGATATTTTAGTTGAACTGTGCACGTCTAAGACCTGTTCCTTTTAGCTGGACCACATCAGCATTGCTGTCCTGAGATACTAACTCATCCCTCCTTCCCCCTCTTTAAATTGACACAGAAGTTCTCCAGAGAACTTTGTATCAACCCAAAATGTTTGCTGAGCCCAGGCGCGTGTGTTTTATCCCCTGGAATATCGATGGTGCAAATGGGGGGAGGGATATTTCTGGCTCGTTGCAACCACGTTGCTCAGGTGGGGGAAGGTGGAGGGGCGTTCCCAGGATTGCTCAGCTGCAAAATCTAAATGGTTGTGTTGTCGCAGAGTTAAATTGGGTGCTAAGTCAGGTGTTTGTCATGAGAGGAACGAGGTTTCACCTGGGTTTCCCCTTCCCCTTCCAACGGCTCTGCACCGACACAGGTGCTTCCAGTGTTGAAATCGCAGCACCAGGTGGGAGCAGTTTGGGGATAATCAGGATTGGAGCCTCCCGTCCCACCCCCTCTGCAGCAGCCCTTCCTCTCTTGAGTTTTACAAAGTCATGGTTTTAAATGACTTGAGTGGCTGCCTTTAAAAATAAATGGGTTTAAGGCTGTGTGACTCGCAGTGATACTGCAGTGCTGGCACAGGATGAAAATGGGAGAGCTTTTAATTTGTGGAGCGATGGAGTGCTGGATTTCCCTCAGAGTTGCCCATTTCTTCGCTTTTGTGACTTCTTGCAGTTTTCTTCCTGAAGTTCTCCGTGAGACTTTTCCAGGTAAACTGAACAGTAGGAGATGCTGAGAATTAGATTTATTGACAAAACTGAAAGAACTGGTTTGAATGTGTGGGAACTGCCAGAATGAAGAGTGTGGGTGGTTTTTTTTTCCATTTAAGAGGACTAAGTGCAGTTGATCTTGTTTCTCAGTATTAAGGTTAGATGAGGAGTTGGGTTTAATGTTGATCTTTGCATACCCACAGGAGAAACATTAATAAGTGTCTGGGCAGAGAAAGGTTTGGGCTTTGCTTGCATTAACTTTTGGAGTGTGGTGATATTTCATTAGGAATATTATTAATAGTATAATTGTAAGCTATACCTGCCCCAAGGATTTTTAGAGTTGAAACTTTACCAGCTCAGGGTAAACACGACACGCTGGAGAGTCTGGAAAAGAGGATGGTGGAAACTTTTTTTGGGGAAAAAAAAAAAAAAAGGTGACTCACTTCTTGTAGGCATCATGGAAGAAATGTGTCTCCAGGAGCCAGGCTGGCTTCCCTTCTAGGAACAGCATTCCCAAAGCGCAGCTCAGAGCTAGGCTGGACTGCCAGGACTTGTTTGCAGAGCTGTGCTTTTATCAGTTTCTGCCTGGGCACAGCGAGATATTCCGGGTGCAGCCGCTCCAGGGTGTCCTGGATTGCTGGACTGCCATCGTGGGAGGGGGATGGAGGGGTTAAGAGATGGAGTGGAAGGTCCAACTAATTCATCTGTCTGGGTGGGTTTGTGTCCCACCCAGCGGGGAGAGAGTTTTTTGTGTTTAGAAAAATAGCAAGTGTAGTAACTCTTGCCCTGGGGCAGGGGAAGGATGAGATTCCTCCTTCCTTGAAGTCCCTTCCAGCCCTGTTTTTTTGTGCTCAGTTCTGGCTGGGATTCTGGGAGTCGGTGGCATGGGCCGGAACTCCATTGTGCCGGCGCTGTGCAGATGTGGGGCCGAGCCTGCCCCTCCTCAGGGACAGGCACCCCTTCCTAAAAATAAACTGCCCCGGCCCTGGGGCGTGTGATGAGCTGTGCCAGTCCCATCTCTGGCTCTGGGGCCGTCCAGGTCTCCTCCCTCGATTTTTCCTGGCAGGGAATGTGGTGTTTGAAGGACACCGAGCGCCTTCAGTGAGTCTGTGGGGATCTCCTCGAGCCCACGATGCTCCTGGAATCAAAATAATCCACTTCAGGATGTCTTTCCTGCTATTCAGCCTCTACTAATTATACCCATTGCTCCTAATTCCACTTCCTTCTGCTGTTCTAATTCCTCTTTTTTCGTCCTTGCTGGTGTTCCACTTGATTTTACGGAGTATTTTTGGATCTCCTCTCTGTGTAGGTTTTGAAGAATCACTTAATTCTGCAGGATCAGAAAGAGAAACCCTTTTTTAGCTTAAAACCACCTCCTGGTTAAGCTGTGACACCTGAGTGCTCTAATTTATATTACACTTATTTGAAGTTTGTTTCTCTTTAGTGAATTTTGTGTCCGTTTCAGCTGTGTTTGTTTTTTAAGTGATGGGAAACTGGTGGTGGCCTGTAATGTAACAGCTCTGGTCACTGGGAGTGAGGATGGATAACAGTGAGGTTTTCTTGTGTCACACCCCATAAATGTGGGCTGTATAACTTCGCCCCCCTTCCCTGTGCTCAGCCAAGGGTGAGTCCTTGTGATTATCTGAATTGCAAATCATTTTACAGCAGTTCTTGGTCCCAGCCTGAGGATGTTTTGCCGTCCTTCCCTTCCCTGTGCTCCTCTGCAGTGTCACCTCACGCTTCAGATACGGCCTGGGATTAAGTCACTCCTTAATCCTCCTTTTGGTTAAACAGCTTGAGCTCTGCGAGTCTGTCACTCTTGAAAACCCTTTTCCTGCTCTCAAGCTGCATTTGCAGCTTTTTGAAGTGAGTGAAGGATTTTTAAGCAGCGCTTGATAAATGCAAGGAATTTTTAAACCCCATTTGATCAACTGAAGCAGCCCTGGCTGCCCACACAGGTGTAACTGCAATGTTCTTTGCTGTCTCCTCACCACTTGAGATGCACATAAAATTATATCACCACTGTAACAATCTCCCACTTGTACCCTGGGAGGTTGGAGCAGGTCTTTTCCTCAGTGTTCTAACAGGAATTGTTCCTACATGCAGAGTTGTCTCCTTGGGAGCTCAGGTATCCTCATGCTCCTCATCACTGCATCTGCACCTTCTCTCTTGGTTCTCCTGCACTGCAAGTTGCTGGGGAGGATCAAGATTTCCAAGGGATTGTTCTCTGCTTGATTTCATGGCTTGTTACTCTGCCAGCTTTTGTGTCATCTGCGAATTATATCATCAGTCTTTTTGTTTCCCTTTGGATGTGTATTTGCTTTCTAGGTTGTTCCTTGGTGCCTGAGGTTTTATCAGGCGTGTTGGGACTGGTACTTAGCAGTGCCCTGCTGGAAACCTGAGAAAAGTTCTATCTCAGACAGCAATTAATCATCCAGTCTGTGCTTTTATGTAGAACTAGAGCAGATATGAAACTCCTATTAAATATAATCGTGTGTGTTCAGAGGGATCACAGGGCTGTTTAACCCGAGAATGGAGTGAAGCACTAGATTGGGTCGTGTTTCTACTAAGCAGCTCCTGACTGGGATTAAAGTAGGACTGTAATTAAGATGTGTTCCCTAAATCCTTGATCAGCTCTTCCATGTCAGTGTCTGGGATTAGTGTTGCTCTGGCTGACCTGGATGTACCTGCCTGATCCATTTACTGGACTGGCATCGTGCCGTGGCCATTCCCTGCCATAACCTCCCCGTGCCCAGGTTTGTCTGGAACAGTGGAGCCAAAGGTCCTCACTACCTGTTTTTTTTTTTTTAGGGTTATGAATCTTGTGTCTTGGATGCTTGCAGATCATGGAATCACGGAATGGTTTGGGTTGGAAGGGACCTTAAAGCTCATCTCGTTCCACCCCCCTGCCATGGGCAGGGAAACCTTCCACTAGCTCAGGTTACTCCAACCTGGCCTTGGATGCTCCCAGGGATCCAGGGGCAGCCACAGCTTCTCTGGGCAACCTGTACCAGGGCCTCCCCACCCTCTTAGTAAAGAATTTCTTTTAATTTCTTCCAAAATGTTCTCATTTTGGACTACTGGATATAACAAACCTCACTTTCCCCAGGGACATCACCTCAGGTTCTTCTTGGTACCCTCTGGCTCTGACTGTCTGTGTGTTGAGAGCCCTGAGCTGGGTCTGTGGGGGCCAGAGGTACTGATCCTGCTGGCATTGTTTGGTGCCACCTTGGATCCAGGCTGGAGCAACATGACAAAGCTTGGCTCAGGTCCTGACTCCTGAGCTGGGACTTGGGGATGTCCTCGGGTTTATTTTCTCCTGTAGCTTCACATGGAGCTGAGCTGGAACTGTGACTGTTCCCGTGTCATTCAGGTTTCTGGTGCTGAACTTGGGAAACAGAGGCTTGGCTCTTAGACATAAACTTAAGGATGGAGTCCAGCAAGTACTGGGGCTCTTGCTTAGCCCCTCTGAGCTCCCCAGCGCATCCTAAGCTGGAAGTTGAGACATTGCTACAAGTCCTGTGGTAAACTTGGTTGGAAAAGGGATCTGGATGGAAAAATAACCCAGCTAAAGAATGTTTTGCTGTGTGGTGGCACAAATGCTGTTTTCCAACCCAGGGAGGAGGTTTGTGTGGGGGTGAGAATGAGGGACTTGGTGGTGGCAAAAGTCGAGAT